TGGTGGTACTGCACAGCTGGCAATAACAAAAACTATTATTACAGAACCGTGTCCACAGAGGTTCCATCAAATGCCACGACCCCAAGGAACTGAGAGACACTGAAACCTGAGGGTAGGGGCATGGGGTCCTTCCTGTCACTGCAGTGCTAAAGATACCTGAGGAATACTTAGCTCCCCTGCGCACCATTTTGCACAAGATTCACTCTCCTTTGCCTGGACCACTGCAGCAGCCTGTGGACAGGTCTCAGCACCCCACGCAGCACACGCTCCACACTGCCACGGCGCTCCCCTCCCACAAACCCACCAGAACGTGCCACGGCACCTCGCCCGGGCTTCCCAGGGCCCCCAGGACCAAACCCGAGCCCCTCAGCTTGGCCTCAGCGCCTGTGACCTGGCCCTGCTCACCTCCCCACTCCATTGCCATCATTCCACCTCCCACGCCATCCTCTCCAGCTCAGCCACACTCCTGTCCTCCAGGCCGTGTGGTTCCTTCTGCTTAGAAGGCCTTCCTGCTGCCTCTCTGGAAAGTCTACTCATCTCTCCGCATTGTCTCAGCCCCCCAAACATCCCATGGGGTAGCACCGTTTTCTTCTTTCTCTGCCCTATGAACTCAAGGGCACGGCTGTGACTTATGTGCCTTTTCTTCTTGCTGTCTGGCACCTGGGGGTGGGGTGCGGCTTGGGTCTATGTTTGGTGAGTGAGTGAACGAACTCTGGCCAAGGCCTCGCAGACACCAGGCCCACAGCGCAGAGTAGGGTGGTGTGGCCCAAACAGCTGCCACCCATTAGGACACCCACGAGGCCACACTGTTTCCAGCAGTCGGCATGGGCACAAAGGAAGGGTGGCCCAGAAAGCTGGCTCGAGGGCTGCTCCCCGCCCTTCCGCAAGAGGGCTTCCTACGAGCTGGCCCAGGGCAGGCCCTCTCTGCGGGTGAATATAAATATATAAAACAAACAGCACGCATTTAGCTGCAGAACTAAAAATAGGAAGCCTGGAATCCGGCTCCGGGCTCCTTGAGCCACTGGACCACACAGTGTGGGTGCGAAGGTTGGGGATACGGCCCCTCACCCCCTTCCAGCTCCCCAGCCCTCGTGGGGGGGATTGGGGAGCTCTGGGTTTCCACAGGAACAGTTCATTCTTTCACTGGCTCCTTCCACCCCCGTCCGTTTGACAGCTCATTTCATTAATGACCCCAAAATGAGCCAACCGCTGAGGCACATTCCTTGCTCATGTGGTCGACCAAGGGTGTCTGGTGGGGCTGAGAGCTGGCCCATGGGCCCTGCTGGGGGGACCTGGGTGGCTGTGCTTATGGGGTGCATTCCAGGGCAAGGGAGGAATGAGGCCGGCCAGGGTCTGTGTCCAGCTTGGTCCTGCCCTGTGACACTGGGGCCGGCCCAGGCCCGGGACAGCCCTCACAGCCCACTCCTCAGACCCTCGGAATTTTCTCCTTGGGCACAGACCATCCTCTCAGGCCTGCAAAACCCTGCCAGGACTGCCCTTTTCTGGAATAAAAGCCAGAGCCATCCTCGGGCGAGAAGCCTAGCAGTGCGGGGTTGCTCCCCGAGGCCAGGGGGCAGGTCCGCCACTTCACCCCTCAGGAGGTGCCAAGCACAGCCCCGGGTGCGGGAGGCCACCCGGGGGCCCGAGGCCTGCAGCACTCTCGCAGCCCATCGCCAGCCAGTCCTGGGCCGTGGGGGCTGCAGTGGGGGGCACTGGAGAAACTTACAACGTGGCCTGAGTCGGAGGGACTCCTAGAGTCTCTGAAGTGGAGTTCTGGGGTCCAAGGGCCTCCGGACTCTGGAACGAGGTGGCTTCCTCATCCTGGACCAACTGCTTCATGTCCTAGGCTCCCACCGGTGGCCCAGGGGATGTGGGGGCCCAGGGCTCCGGGAAGCTGGGGCTGCTGGGCTAGAGATGTCAACCTAATTTTCAGGCGGCGCAAACCCTCGTCCCAAATAGGGCCTTTAGGGACCATGGGACCTGTGATTCTGCCACACACGGGAACTCAGTAGGTGCCCATGTAAGATTTGAATAAAAAAGGGACTCAGAGGGCTAGGGCCCTCCCACAGCCACATATTGTAGCTAAAGAAGGGGAGAAAACACTTCTTCCACATCAGGACATTTCCCCCACCCTTCCAGGGGTGGGCTTCCTGAGATTAGGAAGTTCTTCCTAATACCTAACCTGAATTCTGGCAGCAATTGAGGCAGGAGAGGAATGTCCACTCTCCCCTTCTGCTGCCACCTGCAGGCCACTGTAGTTACTGCAGTGCTTCCCCCAGCAACCTTCAAACTGTGTGACCTGGGGCAAGTACCCGACTTCCCTGTGCCACAGTTTTCCCCTGAGGAAGCTGGGTGCAGTGGTCTGTACCTGGTGGCGTGGAGGTGATGGAGCTTTGAGTCAAGGGCTCTGGAGCACCCAGTTCCTCTCCCATCAGCTGTGGCGCCAAGTGTGGCTGGTGGGGAGGGGCTTAAACTGTGGTCACTTCATAATCTCCATCATCCCTACAAAGCGCCCCAGATACACAAACACACGTAGGGGAGGAGAGTGTCAGCCTGCAGACGCTGCTTCTGGGCCAGCCCTGCTCGCCCAGGCAGATGCGACTCACAGCACACCCCAGAGAGGAACTCTGCAGCTATGGCTGGGATCCTGCGCCCCGAAGAACCTGCTGCCCCCCTCAGGCAGAGCGGGCACTGGGGGTGGGGGCGGGGGCGGGGCTGGGCTGGGGAAATGGAACTTCCTGTTGGGTGTTGGGTTTCAGGCAGACCGACCTAACTGAACAGGGCTAAATCTTGGGATTAGTTTTTGAAGTGGGCACTTTCACTCAAAAATAAGGTCTGTTTTATGAAAATTCCCCTCCACAAGATCCAACTAGACAAGCATGGTGGGCTAGGCCTCCTGGCTGGCGGGGTGGCGGGGTGTGGGGACCATGCTGGCAAGACAGGCCCCCCACACCCTCACACCCACACCCCTCCCCCCCCCCCAACACACACACCAGGCTGCGGTCCTCACTCGGCCACAAACAACTCCTGGGAGGTGCACAGGCAGATGACACCCACTCTTTGCACCTCAGTCGCTTCATCTGCAAAACGGGGGAGCTGTCATAGCTGCTGCTTTGCAGTTCTGATTGCCACTAACCTGCCGCTGTGCCAGCAAGCGCTGGTCCCAGAGGGGCGAGCTCTCACTGCAGCGGCCAATGCTCCCCCAGCCTCTCCCCATCCCCACCTCTGAGCCTGGGGACGAGCTGGAAGAGCTGCACCCTTTCTTTCGTTTACTCGTGAAAAATCCCGGGCCACTTGTGAGGGGAGGAGCGGTGGTGCCCCTCGCAGACCTACCCGCCATTCCTCTGGCGCCCCAGCCTCAGCGGGCGGAGCCTCACCTGCTGCCCTGGCCTGGGTTCTGTGGCCATTCCCGGCGCAGCTGATGGGGGGCAGTGGGCTTCGTCCTGTTCCTGCCCGGAGACCCCGCCCCGCTCCCCCTCAGCCACAGTGGGGGAAGGTCTCCATCCTCCCACACCGCCCATGAAGCCTGGTATTGGACTGGAATCCTTCAACGTGTTTCAGTTATATTAACAAATAAGTCAAAATTCCATTTTACAGTTAAATATTACAAAGGTATAGATCGTTTACTATACGAGCAAGTTGTGCATTAGAAACAAACACACCAAGCAAATTATAGTGCAAAGCAGTCCCCGCCCTCCCCCACCCTCCTCCCAGCTCCGGGTGGCTCACGAAGCCGTGAGTGGCGCAGGCACCGACACTCCGCGTGACAATATGTCACAATGGATCCGCATCCACCACTGACGGTCCTGCAGTAGGGTGGTCTCGAACCCTGCGTTTTCTTGTGCTTTTCTCAACATCAGTGTGTTTGCCTAGCATAACTTCAAAGTAGCCTTACGAACGAGGACCCATTTCTACAAGCCCAGGCCTCCTGTACCCACCGTGGGCCTTAGGACTCAGCATGGCTGCTGTCACTTTTAGTCTGGGGCAGGGAGGAGGGTCAGTTTCTTTCCTGTCCCTGCCCCTATCAAGGCTTGGATGTCAGGAAGGGGCAGGAATCTGAGGTGGGGCTACAAAGTGCTGGGCGCTGGGAACCCGAGGGTGCCCCCCACACAGGCCTAGGCCAGTCCACAACCACAGAGATCAGGGGTGTGGAAGATACGTGACAATGGGTTTGTAGCTGCTTCCTGAGAAGGGGTGGGGAGCCCCCTGGGGGTACGGAGTCAGCTGGACACCCCTGGCAGCTCCCTTGAAGAGATGGAGACAGCTTTTCCCAGTGAGGGCAGGGCGGGAGAAACTGCAGCAGGAAGGGCTTGGGTAATAATGAATGAGCTCACCAGGTGGACTCGCTAACCTGCTAGTTGGTCTGTGGGTACCCAGTGTGCTCATCTGGCTGCTGACACAGGTTGGGGGCAGAGCGGCAGGCCTAGTGCAATGGCAACCACGGAGCATTCTGTAGGGGAGATTTCCACATCCAGAGGATGTGGCTGAAATAACTGCTGAAAACCACATGCCGTCTACCCCTGGCAAGTCTTGCCCCTTCCTAACATAAGCCTTCCTAGAACTGAAGAACTGACGCGGGAATCCACGCAGCCTGAACCTTCAGGCAAGGCTTGTTTTCCCACGTGCAAGCTGAAGGGGCAACACTTCGCCTCTGAGCATGTGGGGTCAGGGGGAGGGGGGCTGAGCTCTTTCCATTGTTCCATCACCTGGTCACTGCTCCCCACGTCTGGTACGTCCCACCCACCTGTACCAGAGCACGCAGGGTGTCCTCTTGGACAAGGGTCTAAGAGCCACACCATGAGATTCTAGCATCTCACCAGCATTTCCCTCGGTCCCCCTCAGGAGCTTTTGGGGGACGTCGGCAGGATGCTGCCAAAGGAACGTAACTGGCGAGGAGGTACCCAGGTCCCAACAGTGCCACGCCTGGGAGAGGGGACCTTGTCCATTACTACGGGGCTCCACCTACAAGAGACCGTGGGTTTGAAAATGTTTGACTGAAGTTTGTTTTTTAAAACCAGCTTTAAAAACTGCTTTTTGTTCAAGATGGCTTTTGGACCAGATTGGCTCAAGGTGAGGGGCTGTCGGCGAGAGGCTGGAAGGCGCACTGTGCGGTTCGGACGTACACAGCTTGGCGGGACCCGGGTGGGACAGGTAAGCTCTCATCAGGCCCCAGCTTTTCCTGCTAGTTCCTGTCCGGCCCCCACGCTCTCTCCAAAAATTGCAGCTTTGAGACCAGCATGGGGTGAGGGGTCCTTGGCCCCCACCATGAGAACAGCGGGTGAATGCCTTGGGCTGGTAAAGTGCTTGGAGGCCCGTCTGCTGGTGCCATCCCCGGTTTTAGGGAGCTGCCGCCACAGGCTAGCCTACTCCAGGGCCCGGGACCCCCAGGGCAGCTAGGTAGGGACAGGGGCTTCAAAGCTGTTAGCAATTGTGGGGGGGACCAGGTAGGGGTGCTTTCATCCCACCTCTGCCAGTGATATTTTTGGGAATTCTGGATGGGCCCTTTGCCCACGTTCACAACGAAGGAGCCCCCTCTCAGGGTGGGGTGGACTTTCCAGTTCTGCCTCAGTTTGTATAAATGAGGGGGAAGGGCTAGGCCAGTGGGTGTCTGAGGAAAGTGGGGGTGGGGAAGTCTTTCCAGGGCCCTGTGGTAAGAGGACAAATCATGTGGGCCCTATGGCAACCTTGGGCCTCGCTGGGGACAGCGAGGTCACCAGGGGAGGTGGCAAGGAAGGTACTTTGCCCGAGAAAAGTGGGGAGAGATGGCTAAGACGTGGGCTGGGGCTGCCCCACCCCTCTGTACAAAGACGTGTGGCTGGACTGGATGCTCTCGGAGCCATTGCCAGCTCTGGGCCCGTGACCGCCCCGAGCCTTGCAGCTGGGCTGGCCACTTGCCGGGGAGGTTCCTGGGGTCCCCGCTTCCACTGGGAGCAGTCCTCGTCGACCCGGGAGGTCAGTAGGGCCGCCACACGGCCTCGTCCATGCGGCCCGGCGTGCTCAAGGCGGTGGGTGAGTTGCTGTGGCTGCCGTCGGCCTCCACGCCGTCACTCTGGCCGCCCAGGCTGGGGTTCATGAGGTTGCCGGCGGCCACGGAGGCGGCACTGCTGGTACAGGAGGCCAGCATGCGGGTGGGCGAGCGGTCGCCCCCACCGCTGCTGCCGGCCACCATGGAGAACTGGTAGGAGCCAGAGGATGCGCCGTAGTAGAGGTGGTAAGGGGACGGGTTGGCCTGGAAGGGCCCGCTCTGGTTCTGCGGGGCCCCGGGGTAGGGCGGCGGGAGGTAGGTGTGGTGGAAGCGGCTGGTGGCCGGCATGCTGGCCACGCTGAGGCTGCTGATGCTGGTGCCCGAGGGCGTGGCGCTGTAGGGGAAGGCGGCCGACATGGCCCCCGGGTAATGCATCCTGGGGTCCGGGAAGCGGCTCTCCGTGAGGGTCTGCAGCGCTGGGAAGGAGCGGTCGAACTGGCGGGGATCGGAGAAGGGGTTCAGGTCCGAGGTGCCTGGGGGATGGCAAGAAGGACAGTCAGTCACAACTGGACACCACCCCAGTGGCCTTTTTAAAGAATGACCTCGGTAAACCGAGTCCAAAGCATGGAGACAGGAGGAGGCTGGGCTTCAGGTGCTGAGCACACCACGAAGTATACACACACTTGAAGTCTATGTATCTTGTTAACCCATGTTGCCCCAATAATTTAATTAAACAAATAAAAGAACCACTTCAGAGCTCTGGTTCACAGGCCGGGGTAGGGGCTCCCCGGTTCTGCATCTGCCTCTGCTCTTACTGCCTCGGCTGTGAGGAGGCAGAGCCATCCTGACTCTGACACGGCCCTGCTTGGGGAGCAGGTGGGAGCAGGCACCTGGGCCACAGGTGGCCGTGGGGGCCCCCCGTGCCGATGGAGGGGGGGCCTCTTCTTTACCTCATGGACTGCCTCCTCCTCACAACCCAGCAGTGCAGAGGCTGGCCTAGGGGGTGAAGGTGGGCCCCACCAGGGCTGTTGGGGGTGTGGGGGGCCGACAGGACGGCGCAGGCTTGGCCTGGAGCTTCTGCCTCCCTCTCTCCCTCCCTCCCAGTGAAGAGCTGGCAAAAACGTGGGTCGAAGGGTGTCTGCAACGACCCTGTAGAAGGGATTCGGAGCCTACTTTTGCAGAAAGGAACACTGAGGCCAGAGAAAGATGAATTTCCCCGATGCCACAGAAAGGACTCAAACTCCTCCCCAGGCCTCTGCTTTCTGCTCTTTGCTGGGGTGCTGGGCACGCCCACAGCTCTCCCTCCCGGGCCTGTGTCTCCAGGGCTGCCTTGCAGACTGCAATGAGAGGCCACCTTCATTTGCCTCAGCAGCAAAGCGAGATGGCAGCAAGAGGGGCGTGGTGGCCTGAACCTTGACCTTGTCGGGGTGACACTGAGTGTCCAGCCCAGGTCCTCCCCCAGCTCCCCCAGTGGGGCTCCCCACAGGACTCTAAGAATCCCTGTCCCCTCCTTTTGGATTTACTGACCCCCAAAACCTCAGCATTCAAAGGGGCTTTGGGATTGAGCCTAACTCCCTCGGTAGCAAAACTGAGGCCCAGAGAGGGTGAGGCACTTGCCTAAGGGTCCACAGCACACTAGACCTGGCACCAAACCCTAGGGTTCTAGTTCAGAGCCCTGCTATGGGCCTGACAGGTAGCTGTCCCATCTCTGAGTCAGCACAGCACAAAGGCTAACTGTGGGGTCCCTGCAGCTGGATACTTATCTTGGTTCTGACACTTCCTAGCTGTGTGTCCTTGGGCAAGTCACTTAACCTCCCTGTGCATCAGTCTTCCCTCATGAAATATGGCGATAGGAGCCAATCCTAGGAATTACACTAGTTACACATGAAGTGTGCTTAGACTGGGCAGAGAGCCTGTGTGGATCAGTGCCATGCAGCGGCTGTCACACTTCTTGCTCTGGGTTGCCAGGAGAACTGGCCCACCCAGGGCCCTGCCAAGATGATCCCCCAACCATGGGCCTTCCTTGTGCCCTGGCCAAGGGGGCAACTCTGGCAGCAATGAGGATGTGGATGAGCCCCCAGCAGTGGTCCCAAGGGAAAGTCTGTCTGCCCCAACCCCACTGTGTCACCCCACCAAAGAGGGGTCAGGGAGACCAGCCTCTGCCCCTGGGCAGCTCCGGGTCAGCACTGCCCACTGTGACTGAGGACGGAGAGCTGCAGCTGCCTTCGGCCTCTTGCTTCCCCGGATGTGCCCGAGGTGCTGTGTGACCTCAGGTGAGACTTGCGACTTTTCCAGGCTTTGAGGCCTTCCTGACCCAGCTGGGGAATGCTTCCTCGGCAGTGGGCTCTGGTCCTGGCTGTGGATCAGAATGGAATGATTCTCCTGGGCTCAAGGTGGGGGGCTGTGGGGGGCAAGGGTCCTCTTAGAATGTCTGGTACCCTCCCTACCAGGTTCCTTGGCTGCTCAGTGCTGCCATGAAGCCTTGCAGGCTGGGTGGCCGGCTGCCCCTCAGAGCAGCAGGGGAGACGGCTTTGTGGTGGTGCCTAGCACCCCAAACACAGCTGAGCACGGGGCTGACTCCTGCTCTGAGCACAAGGAAGTGCATGCTGCCCACCCGACAGGAATCCCAGTCCTGAAGCAAAGGAAACCCAAACAGGGAGTCTGGGATGAGACAGTCGGGCTGCACCAGGAAACAGGGGCCCGGCAAGGCCTGTGTGGCCGCTGGCGCGTCCACAGGCCACAGGTTCTCCGTGGGCCTGCCCAGAGTGCCCCTGTCCCTTCCTGCCTCCCTCCTGGGGTGGTGGGGAAGCATGTGCCCTCGGCACCCCTGCGGCTCCTGCCCCCAAGGCCCTCCCAGCCCAGTAGCCCCAGGAAACTGGAGCTGGCCGGCTGTCGAGCCGCCAACCCCAACACTGGAAGGAAATGTTTATTTTCTTCTCCAAATTGCCCCAGCTGCTGCATGGTGGCTGAATGAGCCCTTTGAGCTGTTAGAAGCCCCCATTGTGGGCAGCCACAGCTGGGGGGGCTAGGGGCTGGGGTATAGAGGGGACAGGGCCTGGGCACTGCTTGTCAGTGACCAAAGCCTGGGGGTCAAAGCTATTAACAGGCACCAAGAGAAGTGGTGGTGGGTGTCCTGAAGGGATCCCCAGGATGGAGTCTGAAGGCAGAGGCTAGTTCCAGCAGAAAGGGAGGGACCATGACAGGTCCCTAAACCCGGCCTTGCCAATGCCCCTCTGTGGCGGGTACCTCCTTCTTCCCACTTCACAGATGAGAAAACTAAGGCTCAGAGAAGTGAAGTGACTAGCCTAGGAACACAAAGCCAGTGCCTGGCAGAAGCAGAATTCCAAGCCTGGTACGTCTGACTACAAAGTTCATCCTCCTTCCCTGGTCCTGCGTGTCAAGAGTCCTTTCTCTCGCTCCAAAGGGGACCAGCCTGGGATGGGGAGGCCTGGTTAGGCTGAAAGGCCACCTAGGCAGCCCAAGACCCAGTGCTGTGGGTGGTCAGGGAGGGGTAGGGGACGCTGCTAGGGTGCAGAAAAAGGGGAAGGACTGGGTCAGCCACGCCCCCCTCCACCCCAGGCCTACTCTGCCTCTCCTCCCAGCCCCAGAGAAGAGGCAGGGGCTTTGCCTGCTGCCCTGCTAGACCCTGTCCTTTGGAGCTGGACAGAGGGTGGGTAGCCTACCTTGGGCTCCCTCAGGGTTGAATCCCCAGCCATGTCTACACAACTGTGGGACGGCAGAGACGGGCTCTCCTTCCCTGGGAACTGCCACCTGCTGGATTCTGGGACTCCCCGGCTGGGGCCCAATACCCCACTGGGCCCCAGCTCTGCCCACGGCGAGGTGAGGCCTGCAGTGTTAGGCTGCTGCACCTGGACAGATGTGGGCCTGTGGGACACAGGAGCCCAGGCAGCTCTGGGGCTGGGGTGGGCACGAGCCCAGAGGGCAGAGTACCTCTCACTGTCTCTTAAGGTCAGATCGCGGCCTCAGCCTCCCCCCACCTCCAGCTCAAGGGCTGCCCACCTGCTTGGAGCAGCTGGACCTGCCCCGCCCTAATCCCCCCTCCCCCCCCAAGGCCCAGCTTCTCAGGCCAGAATGAGAGGGACCTTCTCTTTACATTAAGAGCCTATATCAAGTCCGCCACCATCGCTGATTTACCAAATGGGTTCTAACCAGGCCCTGGAGCACCAAAAAAGAATGACAGCCACAGAGCATGGTGTCAGCCAGTCCTCCTGCCTCTGCTCAGGGCAGCCGATGAGTGCACTCTGCCCCAGCCCGGCCCACGGGCCAGCTGTGCACAGCCTCCTGTGTCCCACCCGCTGGCTGACGGGGTCCGGGGAACAGCAAATATTCATCATCCAACCATTTACTCAGCACTTGTTAAGTGCCAGGTGTCCATCTACTCTGGAAGGCCTGCCTGAGATCTAGCTTCAATTGTGCCTGCTGTATACATCCAAACAATGGGGACAGCGACCCTTCCTGGGCCTCGGCCCAGAGGCACTCCTCCTCCCCTCCGTTTGGGAGGAGTCTCTGGGCCCGTCGGACCTTTCCCAGGAGATGCTGTGTACCTCCCTCAGGCTGCGATGTCACTGTACAGTTTACCGAGTTTGTCTGAGTGCAGTAACAGCATCTGCGTGTCACCCTAGCCCTGGGGAGAGGCATTCGCCACCACCCGACTTTCAGATGAGAAAGCTGAGGCTTGGGGGTGGGGCGTGTCTTCAGCAGCGACATGTCTGCCACCGGCCCCTTGGACAACTCATGCCCCAAGGTAATGGGTGCACTAGGAGACCCTTCCCCAGGGGAGAGGGGGCACCTGCAGGACAGGGATCCTGTCGGTTCCCATGGACCCAAGGGCCAGGTGCCGGCACGGCACAGGTGCATGTTGATACATGTTTGCTGTGTGACTGAATGACCGGCCTCGTCCAGGCCCGGGTGCAGAGCACCCCTCAGGAAACATCATAGGAGCAAGTGAGCGAGGCTGCCTCCCTTGTAACACGAGGGCGACACAACCAACAACCCCTGGGTGAGCTTTCGGCCTGGAGCACGAGGACCACACCTGGGCCCTCGAGGACCTCCCCCCTCCCACGGCCCTGCCATGCTGTACCTTGGATGGGGGTCTGGGCCTGGCTGTTGAAGTGGCTTGTCGTGCTGAGTGAGCCTCGGGGGCTGGGCATGCTCGGTGTCACCCGCATGCGCACGCGTTCCAGGTCCCCAAAGCGTTCGGAGAATGCCTTGGTCTGGTCCTCCAGCTTCTGCCGGTGCCCTGCAGAGCAGAGGGAGCCCGTCAGCAGCTTGTCTCTGAGAGTCTCGGTGGGACAGAAGTTGTCCCTGAGATCTAACGTTAGGCCTCTGCAGGAAGAACCCCACACAAACCTCTTTCCTCGGGTTCTCCAAAAGACTTTCTGAACAGACTTCGGTCATGTGTCCTGCCCTGGGGCCGCCGTCTCGGCCCCACCCCCCACCTTCCTGAGCAGGAATGTGCACTCTCACACCCGAGCCTCCCTCCACAGCACACTGCTGCCTCTCCCCCATGCCTTGGTACCCACGTGCCTTCTCTCTGAGCCTCAGACAGAAGGGAAAAGTCACCAGGATGGTGAGAACGGGCCCAGGGCACCTCACTGAGGGGCTGGACTCCCCTCTCTGACTGGAAGCTGGGAATGGGGACCAGTGTGTCTGCCTTGGGACATTGCACCTGGAGAAACTGCCAGCGTTCGCCATTCCCCTTCTGCCATGGCCCACACGGGAAGGGCCCCAGCCTGTCTCCCAGGCCCTAGAGGTGCTGGTGGCATGAAGGAGGCCATGCCCCTGGCTTCCTGCAGCTTCTTGAAAGACATCAGGCTTAGAGGGATAACACACACACACACACACACACACACGTTTCTAATGAATCATTTCACATTTCACAAGCAATGTATGAACATCTACAAAAATAAAAGTGTTACAGGTAAGGCAATGCCCCTTTGAGCCGCCCAAAGTCCCTCCTGGAAGTCCCCACATCCAGTCTTTCCTTCCAGCCTTTTTCTTTTTGTTTGTTTCGAGTGCATAGAAAACACAGAGCAAGCTTCTCATGGAAATTTCTGGAATGGTGTCAGCCTGCCTGTATCATTCTGTCACTTGCTCTTCCAGCAGCACACCCTGGAGCGCCGCCTCAGTTTTCTCGTCTGTAAAATGGGGAGGGCAAGCCAGCCCGTGCAAACAGCAGCTCCTGCGAGGAGCTCGAGGAGGACGTGTGGCTCTGCTGGGGGCCGCCCCGCACTCCTGCCGGCCACGTCCCCCGGACGCTTCGTCTCCTCAGCCGTTCTTCTCCCACGGGCACTTGGGCTGTCTCCAAATTTCCCGCATTAGCCCCTCACGGGCGAGACCCCCAGGGACACCCTTGTTCACCTCCATGTTTCTGGGGACTTCTCCAGGGCAGACACTGCCCAGCGCACCTCGAGGCTCATTCTGCTCCACCTGAGCCCAAGGGAGGGGGCCAGGCAGCACCTTTTCTTCTTTTCACAGGCAAGAGAAATTTCTGAGAGGTGAAGAGGCTTGCCTGAGGTCACAGAGCTAGCAAGAGCAAGGACTCCCTGGTTCTGGGGTCTCCTGGAAAAGAAGTGCCAGGAGAGGCCAAGGGAGAGGGCCAGGCGGGCTTGATTCCTTAGGTCTGCAGTGACGTGCAGAACTTTCTAGACTGACGGGGAGAGGAGAGAGAGGTAGGTGGGAGGTAAAACAGAACTCCTCCCTGGCCTTTCTGGGTTCTTGAAAGGTGCTGACTGCCTCTGGGAATGAGGGGCAGGAATGGGCCTGATTTCTGGTTTTCACAATGGAACGCAATGGATTCTGGGATGCCCGGGCCCTCAGGCTCCCTACACGCCCCTGTCCCGAGCCAGAATGGGCATCTGAGAGCCCTTAGAAATGGAGCAGGTGGCCCTGGGAGCCTCGGTGGGCTCGGTAAGTCACCAAGAACTGGGAACCCCCTTTCTCCTGTGAGGAGGCTCCGGGCCTGGAGCCCAGGGGACACCCGGAAGCTGGGGCGAGACCACGAGGCCTTCAGCCAAGCCCCCCAGTGCTGCCTCCCAAGACCCCTGCCAACAAAGAGAACACGTGAGTTCGGCTGGAGCGGCAACGGAAAATTCAGGTGCCTGTGAGGACTGGGCAAGTCAAGTAAACAAGGCATATGGGGTGGGTGGAGACTGGGGCAGACCAGGGACACCGCTCCTTGGTAGAGGGCAGGAGCATCTAGACCAGCTGACTGGTGCTCTGACGGGGTGGGCCCAGTACTGCCAGAGTTTCCGGCTGGCCAGGAGAGACCATAAACCTGCTGTTATATGAAATCTCCCATATTTTGTACGTTGGCAATTAACTCAAATACCGAACAACAACCGGAAATGCAAACTGATCACCCTGTAGGACGTGCCCCGCCCAGGGTCTGCCGGTTTGTAACCTCCAGGTTCAAAACTTCATTATCTGGGGAGCTGTCCAACGCCAGCCACCAAGAACTGGTCAGTGGAGACCCCTCAGGAGGTGCTCTCTAGGTGGGGGCCCGAAGGCTCGGCCTCAGCCCTGGAGGAAATGCCGCCCTTGTTGTCGAGGCCGCCGAAAATGGCAGAGCAGGGACGGACTCAGAACAATCTCTACAGGCAGGAAGGTGGCGGATGGACCTGGAGGCTGCAGACGGACCTGATGGCAGCAGAGGTACAGGGGCCTGGGTGCCTCAGTCAACCACAAACCTGGAGGGGCCAAGGGGGCCACACAGGAGCCGGTGTGAAACCTCAGGCCCTGTGACGACTTCACCAGCAGAGTCCAGTTTCTGAGTCACACTGCGTACCAAGTGTTCACGGGTGCTCTTGCAGCCCAGCAGGACGAGGGTGGCGTTCACAGCAGCTGGGGTTCCAGGATGGGCCCGCTGCCTGCAGGCCGGTGACCTCCCTAAAGTCACACGCCCCTCCCTCCACCCCAGGCCACAGGGGCCCCGCCGTGGCACCCTCACATGTGTGGAGCTTGCCAAACAAGGTGTGTGGACGCTCCCCGCCCACACAGGTCACTGCCACGTTGACCAGACCTGCACGACACCCAGAGCATTGCAAGGGAGGCAGGCTGATCGTCCTCACCTCAGAGACCAGGGCACTGGGGCCAGGATGGCGTGTCGCGTCTGGGACACAAAGTGAGGACAGCAGAGCCAGCACTGTCATCCGGAACCCAAGAACTAAGTAAGGACAGATGGGACTGCTGGGGCCTCAGGATGGGGCCCACACTAAGCGTGTGGTTGAGGATGTTGGTCAGGTCCCCAGAGCACACACTCCCCCAGGCGTCACTCTGCCTTCACGTAGGGCGGAGTTTCCGGAGGAGGGCAGCGTGAACGGCACTTTGGGAACTGCTCCCTCGTTGCCAGGCAGGGCACAGGGAAGCCGAGGCGGCGCCATGCGGCAGGGGTGCCAGAGAGTCTCGGTACCCTGGGGCCCGCGCCCTCCCACTGGAGCAGGAGGGAACTTGCTGTGCCCAAGGAAAGAAGATGGGCCTGCAGAAGAGACCTCTTTCATCTGGCCCCACAGTGGGAGTGGGCGGGCATCTCCTGCTGTGCCTCAGTTTCCCCTCTGCACAGGCTGCTCACCGAAGCCCCTCTTGCTCTGAAAGTCCCCAACTGAAGACCGTAAGGATCAGCAACTGGCCCAGGAGGGGCCCCAAATGAAGGAGGCGGGGCTGCTTGCTCCGGGGCTCGGCCTCCACCTCCTGCCGCTGCTCCCAGGGTTTCCCTAGTATTCCCTGGCTCCCACACTTTGGAGCCACAGCCCAGGCACAGCCGGGCCAGGAACGCTTTCCTGCCCTTTGGGGGCTCAGCCTCTCCCCCAGGAGGCCCCCTTCTCCCAGCACTGAGCCCCGCAGCCCCTCTGCAGACTGAGAGCAGGGGCAGCAGGAGTGGCAGGAATAGCAGCCCGGCTTCCCGGAAGCTTCCTCCACGCCGGGGTCTGAGTGGGGCACACACACTGCCACGTTTCACCCTGCATCGTCCCACGTGGAAGGTCCTCCTCTGTCCCTGTTTCACAGGTGAGTGAACTGTGGCTCGGAGACGGCCAGTGACATGTCTGAGTCACACAGAAAGCGCCTGGCCCCCTTCTCTTCCTGGAGCCCGTCCTGCAGGACAGGAGCCTGGGTTTTGAAAACCTGGGGCTCCAGACAATGGGTACCAGGGCCCAGCCCAGGCCCAGGGCCGAGAGAGGCTCTCTGCAGGCCCCGGAGGACGGGCCTGGGGAGAGGATGGCAGGGATCGAGGGCACCTCATCAGGGCCCTGCCCCACTCAGCAGCGCTGAGAGGCAGGCTCAGACGGTGACCCACTCTGACCCGCCCACGCCTGTAAGATGGTTAGCATATCATCAACCCCCGAGGGTGAAGAGAGCTGAGGACAGACCCCCGAGTGTTTAAAAATACAGCATTTTGGCCCTGGCTGGTGTGGCTCAGTGGACTGAGTGCCGGCCTACGAAGCAAAGGGTCTCTGGTTCAATTCCCAGCCAGGGCACATGCCTGGGTTGCAGGCCAGGTCCCTAGTGACGGGGCATGTGAGAGGCAACTACACACTGATGTTCCTCTTCCTCTCTTTCTCCCTCCCTTCGCATCTCTCTAAAAATAAATGAAATATTTAACACATTAAAATACAGCAATTTGCGGGGAGGATGGGGAGAAAGGGCCCGCCAGGCCCACGGGACCTGGCTTGGTCCCCCTGTCAGCCTCCAGCAGCCGGGCTCAGACCACTGGTGGCCCCTCAGCACCACCAAGCACTGTGCCAAGTAGCCCACGCACATTGTCTACCAGGGCCACAACCCTGGGTGAGGCTGTCACAGTCACCCCCTTTTCGCGGATAGGAAAGCGGAGGCACTTGGTCAAGGTCAAACAGAGAGGGGCTGGCACACTGCATGCAGCTTGGCTGCTACGGTCTTGACTTCCTCAGACCTCCATGAGAGAGCAGCTGGGTCGCCTGGCGCGGAGGCCTGGCTGGCAGGAAGGCAGCTCAGTGTCCGGCCTCGGCTGGGTGGAGGGGGCCGGGGGCCAGCAGGGGCCGAGAGGAGGGTGCGAGGGGCTAGGCAGGGCCACAGGAACAGAGCTGTCTGGGGAACAATGTGGGCCCCACTTACGGGGCCCTTCGCCCATATGAAGCCACTCAGCTGCCTCCCCGGCTGCCTGGCGCGGCTCTGGTGCGGCCACAACCCAGACACAGCAGCCACTGTCTGCCCAGCTGAGGGGTGGGGCACCCGGGCCCTAGGCCCGCTCTGCGGCCTGTCAGGAGATTTACACCCGACTCTTAACAACCGCGTGGAATCGCAGGCGGGTGCTGGGCCCGGGGTGGTCTGCCGTGAATCGGCCCCCTGTGAGCAGATGAAAGCCGGTCGGGGGCTGGCGGGGGGCCAGCGGGCAGGGAGGCAAGCAGTTCCTTCCCAGGGCTGCAACTGGGGCTTCCAGCGGCCTGGGGTTGATTAGGGGAACCAGGGAGGTCTGAGGTTAACCCCTTCCCTGCTGCTGGGTGCACGCCCCTGGGGATCGTGGGGGGCCGGGAGCGGGTGACTCTCCTCCACCAGAGCATCCCTCTGACCGCACCTGGAGCTGGGGACAAAGCTGTGGTCACTCTAGAAGCCTCAAAGGCCCAGCTGCAAGTGGAGGGTCACTTTTCCTGCCCGTGCAGTCTGGAGCCCCCAGTAGCCATAGGGCTGTTTGCTCCCTTCCCTCAGGGCCCTGCTCAGATGTCGCCTCTTCAGGAGGTCTTCCCTGTCCCCTGCCCTTGCCATGTCCTGTCCCCTACACTCTGGCCCCTTACCCCCAGCTTTGCTTTTTTTTTCATAGGACTTCGCAGGGCCTGAAATTAACTAGCTAATCATTTATTTTGTTTATTCCACAATAGTTACCAAGCACCTACTAGGTGCTCATGTCCGTATTCTGGGGTCTGTACCAGTGCCTGGCAAAGCAGAGGAAAGAACGTGTACAACGGCGAGGGAGAGGAGAAAGGACCGGAATACCGAGTGAACTAGAGAGCATCTTAGACGCTGCTGAGCGCTTCAGGTAAAACTAACGCTGGGAAGTGTCAGAGAAGTGGAGGCACTGCTGTGCGCCCGCAATTTGAAACAGGGTGGTCGGGACAGGGCTCGCTGCAGGGCCTGAGGAAAAAGACACCAGGGAGGGATGGAGGGCGCCACCTGGGGGTGTCTGGGGAGGAGTGTTCCGAGGAGGGAAGGGCAGTGCAAAGGTCCTGAGGCAGATCTAAGACCAGGCGGGAGCCCAGGGTGGGGTGAGTGAGGAGGAGGTGGTTGAGAGGGAGAGACAGGAGCAAAGGCACAGGCCTGGAGGAGCCTTGTTGCCATAGTGACAACAGAACTGTTTAGCACCTCTCCCTACCCGTGTGTGCGAGGGCAAGAGCCTGTCTGTTGGATTCACTGAGGTGGCCCCAGCCTAACACATGGTAGGTGCCCAGGAAAATATTTGTTGAAATCATTCCATGTACATTTTTGGGAAAGGCACATGGGCCAGATGGCAGGGCTGCCCTGTCTCTGCCTCAGGCAGGATTAAGAGCCTGGATCCTATCCTTTCAGGTACCATCACCTGCTAAGCCTGAAACACGTGGGGTGAACAGTCCCCAAACTGAGGTCTACGACAGAACTGCCAGGCCCTGTGCTGCCCCCTGCCCAGCGCCTGGATCCTGCTCAGCCACCTGCTTTGTCACTGGTCCCCAGTGACTGTGAGGGACACCAGCCTTGAGAACCTCAGAAACCGAGGCCACACAGGCAGGAAGCCACCAAGCCAGCCTTCAAACCCAGCTGGCCCCCTGGCTGCAGACTGGGCACGCTCCGCAGGGCACCAGGGGGAACAGCCCAGCCACAGAACCCACAGCGGCCTCGGGGATCTGCAGGCTCCACTCCTTGGCTCCCTGGACCAGCCCCTACTCCCACCCCACCCCACCCCACCCCACCCCTCCCCACAAAAGGCTCTGCCCTCACACGGGGCTGGGGGTTACAAAGCAGGCAAGAGCCAGAAAGAAAACCCTACGATAATCCATGAGGGTTCTTGGGCACTTCCTGCGGGCTAGGCAGCTGTATGTTGGTTTAATGCTCCCAAGAACTCCCCAGAGAAGATGCTAGTATCATCCCCATTTTACAGATGAGCACGCGGAGGTGAGAAGGCCTTTCTAAGTGGCTCACTTTCCTGAGCCCCAGGCAGGAGCCCTGGTTGTAGGCTTTGCCTCTTGACCTGTCTCCCCGGGGGCTGCTAAGGATCAGTTAACAGAGACTGAATAGGGCCTGGCACTCCAAGAGGGCTTGATGACCAGCAGTGCTTAGGCTGACCTCTTATCTCTTATAGGTGGGGAAACTGAGGCCCTGAAGGGGTGGATCTGTCCCAGGTCACAGGCTGAAGGCCAGGCTGGGACCGGAAACCAGGGTGCTAGGGAGACCAGCCCTGAGGGCGGAGTGGGGCAGGCAAGTTCTCAGGATGGAGACCTGGAGGCCTGCCCGCCTTCCACTGCTGCTCTTTTTGAAAAATGAGCTCCTGCTACGCTTTTGTTTGAACAAGCCACTTTAAAAACACTGAGCTGGCCTGTGCCAAGACCCAGAGAGGGATGCCATCTGCCTCAGGTCACGCAGCAAGCCTGGCCTCTGATTCGGGCTTATCTCCAGGCCCAGCTTTCCCTTCCTCTTGCTGCCTCTTCCGGTGCCACCCCTCCCCCTCCAGCTCACTGCAAGAAGGGGTTGCCTCAGGTCTGAGGGGCCCTCGAGAAAGAAGAGCAGGCAGGGGGCTTGAGTGGGGGCCAAGTCTCTCTCCTCATCCAGGGGCCTCAGTGGGGGCCTGGTGGGCAGCTCTGGGCTGGGCTGGCTGAATGTGGAGGGCTCTGTGGGATCCCAGGCACTGCCTAGCCCTTGGGAACTCTCCAGCCAGCCTCCAAGCACCCCCCCCCCACTAGCATGCCTCTCTGCACGGGGTGCTCACTACTTTGTGGAGTGGCCCCTACGTGCTGCGTCATCATACTGAGCCTAACTGTGGCTCCCGTCCATCCTGATTCTGCCCCTGGAGACTCAGAGTACAGTATCACCTTCTTCAACAGAAACTTACACCTCTATTGCCACGGCCTCGGGTTCTCAGCAGCCACCCGAATGGTGATGGTGGTGTTGGGAGCCCACGGGGATGGCCACGTACCAGGGGTAACAGAACGCTGCCATCCAATGCCTCACACGGAGCCACCCTCTGCTGCAGCCAGAGACTACCGACCTGTGGGCACTGGCTGCCAGGCCTGCAAGGGGGGGTGGTGGTACTATCCCACTTCCTGGAGGAGGCGGCTGAGGCCCTGAGAGGTCAGCAACTCGCCCAAGGAAGGCAAGCTGGCTCAGAACCTGCTCTCTGCACAGTGGCCTACAGCTCACCAGGGCTTCTTAGCCATCAGCACCTTGAGACTTCGGGCATCACTGACCCAGTTCACAGAACTAAGGCCAAAAAGGAGATGGGACTTGTCCAGGGCTGTGAAGCCCAAGGCCAGAGCATGGACACATCCATGTCTAATACTAGCAGGAATCTGGCCAGAATGGGAGCTGACTGCCTTGGGGCCTGATGACCACGAGCTCAGGGAGGCCACTGGAGGCAGCCCCGAGAGGCCTGGATAGAGCGCTTCCAGGGCCTGTCTTCCAGAGCTCTGAGCCTCTCCCAGTAGCCAGATACTGCGGTGGGCCCAGGAACTGGACAGATGGGCAGCCGGGCTTGCCTGATTCCTAAGAAGGGCCAGGCCCAGGTGGTCTCAATGCCCCGCCCTGGCAGAGTCGCTCTCCCATTCTGAGCCTCCTGGGCACTGGCAGAAACCAGAGCATGTCCTGCCCAGGGCCGGCTCCATCCGGAGCCAGGATCAAAGGCTGCCTCTGGGACCCTGGATGCTCCCTGCACAACCCCCCCCCCCCAAACAAGCTAAGACAGTGTGAGGCCCCGGCCAGGATCTCAATGTCCCCAGGCCTGGATTCTCTCCTCACTGGAATTGGGTGACTCTTTGGCTCTGGCTGTCACGAGGATCCCACATGAGACATGATAAATGTGAGAGGTTTTCTGAACTGCAAGGAGCCACAGTTACAAAGAAAGAGAAGGACAGGGCAGCTCTCGACACATCAGGCGAACATTCGAGAGTGAGAGGCAGTCCAGACGCCCGCTCCGCTCAGAGCTCAGGACCCAGGCAGTGCAGCGATGGCCCTCCGCTTCTCTGTCTCACTCACTCGTTCACCCAGGAGCACGGGCCTCTGGCCCCCTCTGTGGTGGCTGCTCCTCCGGTTTCCCTAGCCTGACTCTGAACTCCAGGTCCTCCAGCAGGCAGAAGCAATTCAACACCAGCTCTCTCTGATGCTAAAATGCAAAACCAGGGCTTCCTACACTTAGTAGGTGCTCAGTGAATATCTGCAGAATCAAATCTGCGTTCCTGATGGTGAGAGCGTGGGTCCTGGGGTGAACGTGCCTGGGCTCCGTGAGACTGGAGGAAGTCCCATACTAAGATTCAAAGAAAGACCTTCTGAGGAGGGGTCCGGCCTCCCGCAGCCACTGGCAGAGGCGGCTGGGGTGGAACAGGGAACACCTGGCCCAGCCTCCAGCCCCAAAACACACACACAGCCTTTTCCAGACTCTTCCTTTCCTTAACGATGCAAGTCCATACCCCCCAGCAGGCCCCCAAAGGCAGCTTCCCACTGGAGAGGGGCTCAGCTAATCCTGCCGTCTCCCCGCCCCAGCCTCTTCACTGGCCTCTGCAAGTCTGGGCCAAGCAGAGAGGGTCTGGGGCTTTGCTGGCAGATGCACAGTGCATGGAGGTGCAGGGCGGCGGACCACAGCCCCCCACAGGGGAGCTTCCAGGCCCCGGTGCCACCTGTCTGACCTCGGCGGCTGCCCTTCCCCCTCTGGACCCTTTTCCCCCACCCAGGGGACTCAGCAGCTCTGGCACTTACGTCTGGGCTCCCGGGGTCCGTCCACAGTCACCTTGATGGCTCGGTGGTAGGTGGCCACTTGGGTGGGGTTGGTGAACACGGTGATGGTCAGTGTGAAGCTCTTCCCTGGGGGGAGCGAGGGAAAAGCAGGAGGTTGGTACTTGGAGCCACTCAAAACACGCCGGTCTCCCACTTTCTTTGCCTCCCCGAGAAGCCCCTAACCTTCTAGAAGGGGTGGGTCTCTGTCCTTTGAACCTGGGGAGAAAATGGGGTTCTGGGTCAAGTTCCAACTGCAGGGGTTGGCATTCAAGGCTCCGGCAGGGCAGGCGCCAACTTCATTGCCCCCACCTCCCCCACTGCTCTGGCTTCTTTCCTCTCTGTTTCTTGTCCCATTTCTGCTGTCCTTCTCTCCAGAGACCTTGCAATTTGGGGATGGGGAGCGAGGATGGCTATATATATTTTTCCTCAAAGTAATTAGTGATCTTTATAGAAAAAAATTGAGAACATAAAAGATATAAAAAAGGAGAAGAAAACACCCCGAGTTCCCCTAGCCAGAGATAAACCCCACTGCTATTTGGGTGTTCTCCCCTGACCCTCTGTAGGGGTGTGTGTGTATTCAAAGAGTTGCAGTGATTCTACCATGTGTATTTTTGTACCCTGCTTTTTTTCACCTAACATCACATCATAAGCACTTTCCTGTGCCATTAAAAATTCTTCATAAACTTCATTTTTAATGGCTGCAAAATATTTCAGCTCACAGGAGCCTCATCTTTTATTTATCCATTTCCTTACTCTCGGGTAGTTAGGCTGCTGCTAATTTCTCAGTGGCGTGTGTGGCTGGTTCTGGAAAAGGGCTGATTTGGGAGCTGCAGACATTTCATTTGTAGACACAACTGTTATTTCCAGAACTCTGTTCTATTTTTAAATAGACAGTTGGCTCCAAAGTCTCCATTCAAAATTCCTGAGAGGGGAAAAAACTTTTAAAATAATAGTAATTTATTTTTTACCATTTGAAATAAAATGAAATGGCCTTCTGTTTAGAAAAATCTTTGTCCACACCTCTGCATGTTTCCTCAGCACAGATTCCAAGAAGTGGCAAGTGGCTTCATCGCATCAGAGGGTGGGGCAGGCAGTTCGGGCACTGACCCCTCTAGCGAGATGACCCTTCGGAGACAGGCGCCGTGCCTGGCGCGAGGCCATGGGTCTATCGAGGTGGAAGGTCTTTTAAACTCTCCTGACTGAACCTGCCTTTCTTCTGTTCCCGGAGAATGAAACTTTTTGTATGTTTATCGCCAGCCTTAACGCAACCCAAATTATGGCTTTGTGCCCTTATCCTTCCCCACTGAGGTTTTAGCGCCGCTCAGACATCGCTCTCCGTGAAGCCTGTTAACACTTTCCTCCTCCTGCTCATGGCCGTCAGTTTCCCAGCTCGTGGGTCTTCACAGTTCGCTTTCTGACTCCACTTTGCGTTCTCAGTTCTACCTCTGGCTTCCGATCTCTCCTCTCGTTTTTATGTTTGGGCAGGTTTCCCCATGTAACAGGCAGATGAAGGTTTACCTCTGACAAACTGTGTTCTCTTTCCTTTCTGCAGCTAATTCTTTGATTCTTCTGCATTGAAGGTAACGATTTCCCCTCCAAGGGCAAGCCCGGTTTTCCCGGCGCCTTCTCTGGAGTGACAGCATCCTGCCCCCACTGCTCTCTGTTATCAGCAAAGCCTCCGCTCGGGAAGGTGTGGAGGAGCTTCGCTGATCCCCGAGTCCAACTCGGGCTGCGCGCTCTGAGCTCTCTGTCCCTGGACCCCAGTTACAGGCTTAGGGACTGACTCCCTGAGGGCAGTGGCCATTGGCTCAGGGTGGGCACCGGAGGGGGGGCTGCCCAAGTGGGCCCCTCTGCTGTCCCTGTGCTCCCGACAACTCTGCAGGGCAGGCAGGCAGGTTCTGCTGTCCCCGCTTCACAGGTGGGAGACCCCCCTCGGGGGTGGGCACTGACGGCACAGTCCTCTCTGCGTGGTTCTTTCTGGGTACTGTTGGTCTAGTGATCAGGCGAAAGCTCCAGCCCCTGGAACAGGGACTCCACAACCACAGGAAACAAGCCGGGCCACTGGGGCCCCACCGAGGAGCCCAGGGGCTCTGAGATCCCAGGGCTGGGGGAGGATGGTCCTCAAACTGAGGTGTGCCTGGCACTAGAAAGGTTTTCCTGAGCCAGCCGGCTGGAGGAGAGGGTGCAGGTGCCGAAATCCGTGCCTGCCCCTGGAGTCCTGGGGGCTCCGAGGGACAGATGTGGCCCCGCTCTCTCAGACCACAGGGACACTTCCCATGGCTCCTGGACACAGGCCGTGCAGATGGTCTAAGGGAATGCTGGGCAGGTGGGCTCCGGCTCCCTGCCCACCCCCTCCAGGGGCCCCTCCTCCTGCTTCTCCTCACTCTAAGGTCATTTCCCTCTCAGACACCCCTGCCCTCAACCAGTCAGGCACTCTCTGGGGGCCTCTCTGTCCCTCACCTCCTTGGTGCTGCAGGGCACTGAGCCAGGGGGAGTTCAGGTGGACGGCAGTGGAGTGGAGGGCAGCGGGAGGGCTGCGAGGCCAGATGGGCCCTGAGCCCCTCCAAGTGCTCCTGTTTGTCACCTCGGCTCCCTCGGGTCTCCACTGAAAAGCGAGGCCCCCTGGTCACTTTATCTAAAGTAGGGGCTTTTAACTTGGTATCCGTGGCCTCCTCTTAGAACTGAGTATGCCCACGAACTGGGATAGGACAAACAAAACAAAATGGCAATTGTATTGTCCCTAACCGCCAAATGAAATTTAGCATTTCTCTTGAGTATGAACACAGGCAACATGCCACAAAGCATTACAGAAGTCCCCGTGACCTTGTCACAGCAGACGTCACACGTAGTTACATATCACATTACAGGCATTGCAGAGTTCTCCAAATATCTCTTATGCCCGTCACAACTTCAAAGTCACGGTCGTCATCAACCCCACTGCTAGACCTCAGTGTTTAATGTGCTAACAAAGCGGCACATTTATCACAATTTAAAAGACATCTTGCTAACTATGTTTTCACATAATTGGTTTTCATTGTAATCCTCTGTGTTTTGTTTTGTTCCCTAAAAAGCATTATTCTGAGCCTGTCAGAGGGGTCTGTGGGGTGAAAAAAGATTAAGAACCTCAATCAGAAGCATCACAGACCCCCCACTCCCACTCTCCCTGCTTGAATTTCCCCCAAATGCTTATTATGCCTAATCATTTGTCAAATTGTTTATTTTACTTGGTTTCCCTGTATAGACTGTAAGCTCCCTGGGGGCCAGTGTTTCTGTGTTGTTTGCTGCTGTTTCCCGGTCTCTGGGAGAGTCTCCGACACACAGTAGGTGCTCAGTAAATGTTTACTACGTTAATTAAGGACAGAGATTATCGCTTCCATTTTGTAGATGAGAAAACTGAGACACGGAACCAGGAGTTGTCCAGGCTGCCCAGTACCCAGGCAGGGCCCAGAAAGAGGAGAGCGTGCCGGGCCGGCCGCTCCGCACAGACTCGAAGGACCTGCTGCGAGACCCGGCGGCACAGCACAGGCCACTCCTGAGGTCACCAGCGCTTCTCTACAGCTTCCTCCCAGTTTCCAGGCCTGGCACTGCCCCTCCTGGGCACTCCCAGACAGGAGGGAGGGGGAGAGAGAGAAGGAGAGGCTGGGACTGGGAGAAGTCAGGTGGCAGGTGCCACTGGAGGCAGGGACCCCATGAACCAGGGGCGAGGGAAAGCTGTCTTCCTGAGCGCCCCTTGCCCCTCTCGGTGGCCTGACAGCAAACCCATCCACCCTCTCTCTCCCCGTCTTGGAGGAGGAAGCTGCGAAGACAAAGGAGGTGGACAACTTTGTGCAGGATCTTGGGGAAAATGTGCAATCAGCCAGGAGTCTAGGAATTACACAGCCGGGTACTCCGAGGCCTGGCCCTGCTTGTGGGGCGAGAAGCCCTAGTCTGGAAAGAGCTGCCCCTCGGGGCTCTGAGTGGCCCCAGACATTCCCGTGGGACCTGGGGCCCTGGACTACTCAGCATACACAACTGGGTCTGGCAGTGTGACCCTGGGCAAGTCCCTGTCCCTCTCAGCCAGGGTTCCCATGTGGGATGCCCCAACCACGGGGCTCCTGGATAGCAGAAGGAGCCATGTCCCAGGGAGCCTCTGGGTTTTCTTAGCACAGGCCAAGAAGCTGTCTATCTCCTCCCCACCAGTGGTCCCCCCAAGCCTGCAAGCCACACATCACCCCAAATCTCTCTCTACCTACTATGTTTTTTTTTTTTAACCACTTATCGACAGTTCCGGAACCCCTGCTCTTTCCACTTTCGCCTACGGCCTGTCGCCGCCTCCTAGAGGGGACTTTGGGGATTTGTGGTGTGTGGTCCTCAGGAGCCGGGTTTGGGGGCAATGCAAGTGTCCAGCACTGCGCAGGGCAGTGAAGTATTCATTCCGTCTGTGTGTGAAACATTTGCTCATACAGACTCTCTGAGCTGAGAACCTAACTAAATTTTGCATAAAAGTAGGCACATTTCTTTTTCTGCACACTTTTAATGTCTACTGAATTTTCCAGGAGGAAAGACAGGTTTTTAGAAATTTTTTGTTAAGAACTTTGCTAGGAATTGTTCCCAACTCCAGAAAATCACGTCACCGACAGCACGGCCGCATTCAGACTCCGAGGCACGGACACCTCGCTGGCTGCGGCTGTCACCTGGCTTCTGCCAGCGCTGTGAGCGCCTGCCCGCCAAATAGTGCGGTCTCACCCAGTATTTGCATATTCAAATAGATATTTAATTATAAATTACTTCCTCCCTTCCCAGCTTTTCCATCAGAGTTATAGAATTACACAGATTTTGAAACTGCACATAAGCAGAAAGGCTAGATCATCTACGCATTTCGCTGAGAGAGAGTAAAAGGTACATTTCAACTTAAGGAGGGGGCACTGGGTCTGGTGGGGGGACCCCGGCGTTAATCACTGCAGGAGACACCAATGACTTGGTTTCCTTCCCTCCCTTTTCTTGTTTCACGCCTTCGGGCTAACCGTGACCTCTGAGGCGGTGGTATGTGTCTGCCTTTCATAGAAAGGCATCTTCCTGGAACTGAGACAGAATCAAGGAACAAAAAGCAGGGGAGCACGTAGATATTCCCCTCTGGCTTCTTAGTCTTGGCAGAAGTCAGACAGCCAGGGAGAAGCGCTGGCTTCCAAATGCCAACCTGTCCCTGCTCCCGACGCGGCCCAGCCCGTGTCAATCACTGACTTGTTCTCTCAGCGGGAATTTCCCCATGGGCAGCCCGGGCGCGGCCGATGTGCCCCCGCCTGCCCCAGGACCCCTTCGCCCTCCTCCTCGCTGCCACCCGCCTCCACTTCTCCCACTCAACAACTCACACCTTCTGGGTTTCCCCCACCCCCGCCCAAACCGCACCAGAATCAGAGAATCAGTGACAGTCACCACTCAAAAGGACTTCAAAGGTCTCCTCTAGTCCCAGGCATCTGAAGTAACGAAATCTCTAACACGTATCCAGCTCTCGGTATGTGCCAACTGAGACACTTGTACCAAATTCCTTCATCCTCACAAAATCCCACAAGGTTGGTATTATTATGACCCCCATTTTATAGATGAGGAAACCGAGGCACAGGGAGATCAAGCCATTTGCTCAGTGTCATCCAGCAAGTCGCTGGTGGAGCTGGGCACTGAAACCCAGACCAGCTGGTTTTAGAGCCTCCGAGGTCCGAAAGCCTCGTCGAGTTCCGTGGGCATCAGAACTCCCATTCAGGCCTCTTCCTGCCGCCCAGGACCACGGAGGCCGGTGAGGGAAACTCAGCCTCCTGCACCTACTTTCCAGAGCCACAATCCAGCCTCAGCCAGCTGTGCCCGCTCCAAGAGCATGCGGTCCAACCACGCTTTGGACACCCACCGCCCTCCAGGCAGGCCCTGAGGGTGGGTGCAGGTCTGTGGGCATAAATGCCACGAGGAAATCATTCTCAGCAGCAGGATGGCCAGGCAAGGTCTCATGTAGGTCAGAGAATCATCATCTCTTCCATGTCACACCCCCTAGAAGAGGGGGATACGCTGCCACATTCCTGGTGCCATCCGGGGCTCTGGGGACCGATCTTTCCTTCTGCTTGCCTCCCAAGGGACTGAAGCTATGGAGGGCCTGCCTCACTGCCACCACGCCTGGGCCAACAGATGGGGCCACCACCCCGAAGTCGAGCGGCACTCGGGCAAGCTACCGCCAACCAGTGGCAGCTAGGGACTCTCCATTCAGGGCTGGGGCTGGGATTAAGTTGCAAGAGGCTTGAGATATTGGGGATGACAAAAGGAGCTCGGAGACTAATTAGGAGCAGCAATGAAAGCTTAATTCATAAAAGCAAACATTTTCCATCCATCAACCTGCAACCAGTTACGGGCAACGTTTGAAAGAAATCTGTGCGTGGGGAAGGGAGCCAACAGGAACAGGAAATGTTTGAAAGAATGTAAACTATTTCAGTTTCATAAAAAGTAACAAGTAAACAGTTATTACATGCAAATAATGCCCTGGTTTTAATTAATGCTGAAAAGTCAAAATATGTTTGACATTTGTATGTATACATTGAATGGCTGAAGAGGGGAAAATGGTGCCCAGATGCCCACTTCTGAGCAGGGCTGGAGGCCCTGGGGGGGGGGGGACTAAAACCTTGATAAGGTCTTGTTTATTGGTGTTGAAAAGTACGATTCTGCCTTGGCCTCTGTTGAGACTGGGGGCAGACGGAACCTAGCTCACTTTCTTAACAAAGCTGGACCGGCAAGCCAGGTGCTTGGGGAGGGCATTCGCCTGTTTTCAGCAGGATGGTCTTAAAGGGCCAGCGAGCCTTCAACGACCCATTTTTCTTGGGCAGGGTTTCTAGGACTTCTCAACCTGAAGTGGTGAGGTGGAGGGTTTCGGGTCCCAGCAGCCCCTCCTACTCGGCAGCCCCTGGTGGCAGCCGCAGCGAGTCCGGTCCTGCGTTCGTTCCTGCCTGCTGCCTGAGGTTGATCAGACAGGTAGGCACATCGGCCTTGACGGTGGGGTGAGAGATGGCAGCCTTTGAGCCACCCTTTCCAGCGTTCGGCATCCTGTACTGCATTGTTTCTTTTCTAAACCACCTTAAGGCTCAAAGGGCTGGGGAAACTGTGGCTTTGGGAGACCACAGCTGTGGAGAGGCAGCCTCTGAGTGTGGGGAGAATCTGCCCCCCTGGGGAGAGTCGCTGGGGTTCCTGGGCCCTGCAGACCGAGGATCTGTTCTCTAAACCACCTGCATAAAAATGTACAAGGCCCATTTTTGAACTTGTTAATTTCCCCCCAGCATCTTTTGTGAGACAGGGGCACTTAATCGGGAGAGGGGAGGCATGGCAGGTTCAGCAATTAGTAAACCCCCAGACACTAGGAGAAAATTGTGGCTTTTTTTTTTTTGGCAAGAGACCCTAACGTTCTTCACATCTTCAAAGGGGTTGGTAACACCCTAATGGATTCCAAATTGTTATTTTAGACACAACTGGACCTGTTTCTGGGGCTCCCGTTTGGACCCCAAGGCCTCATTCTCAGCTTCCTCCCCCACAACCTTTGCTACTCCCAGTGCTGGTCTGGCGAGGTCTCCCCTCCACTCACCTCGCCCACTGCGGCCCACGAAGCGAAGGTCGTTGAACCTGGCCACTTGGTTCTTCATGACGGCGGAGGCGTTGCGCAGTTCAGCAGAGTAGTTTTCATCGTTGCCGGCCATCACAGTCACAACCGTTCCATCTGGCACCTCCCCCAGCGCCACCACCTGGGGGCATGGGGCAGGGGGACAGTTTAGAAAGGCGGGGGAGGCAAAAGAAGGGGGGGAAGGGCTGGGGCAGGCAGCTCCCCTAGGTCCCAGACGCACTGCGGATTTCTCAAATGCAGGGTGGAGAAAAGGCTTAAAAACAATAGAGACCTTCCTCCACACATAACAAAAACAAACAAATCTCTACCTTGCATACCAAAATACTAGACAAATTGGTTAAGCCATGCGCTGTGAAATTATTCTTTTAATTCAATTAAATCTAAGCGAGAGCTGGGGACGAGCTCAGTCATGATGTAGAGTGCAGTTTCCTTCTTCTCTTTGCTTGAGCAAAAATAGGAATCAATACTGCCTCTAGCAAAGTAAAAATAATATCAACGATACTAAAAAACGGGACTCAAATAATGCAAAAGCCGTTTGGGGTATGAAATTGGGCCATGAAATGTGGCCCAGGCCCAGTTTATCGGCTTCTGCATTGCCTGAATTCGTTATGCAGGCAGAGTGCAAAATGCAAAACAAACTGGCGTTTGGAGAGGGTCTGTGCAGAAAACCCTTTTAAAGTGGGAGAGGAGCTTTTGAGAGCAGGAAGACGCACCTGCTGGGGATTGCAGGATGGGGGTGGAGATGCCCCCCCCCTAGGGGAGTGTCCCCCAGCCCTCGCTCGCCCCAAGGAGCACGGAGAGGCGGATGCCTTCTGCAAAGGAATCAGACTGCACACGCAGTCACAGCCATTTAAACGTGGCCACCGCGTGTAGGGACTAGGGATCCAGATGGTAAAAATTTCAAGGAGAAAATGTTTGGGGTCTGATTAAAAAGGCCAGATTTCCTGTCAACATCCTGTCTTCTTTTAATTTCAAAGATTCCTTTTAAGCTCCAAGTGACAGTAAAACCTCCGATCTGAGGATTAAAGTCACACGGGCCTCCCCAGCACCCCCCTCCTCCCCAAGGAGATTTTCCCCACTGGTATTTTAAGATGTCACCCGGGAGACCTCAAAGAGCCACTCATCCTTTTCTCCAGTCTGGAGTCGTCGTAATGGGAGCAAGGATGGACTCAGCTGCCAGAAGCCGCCGTTTCCAGCCACCTCGGGCACCTCCACCCCCAGCCGCTAGCCCTTCCTGCCCTACTCTTTCTCACGGCAGCTGCGAGAGGTTTAGGGGAAAACCAAGGCGTTTTCGTTTCATCTCGCTGCCCCCTTAAAAAAATGAAAATGAAACAGTCGCCTACTCCTTGGCAAAGAGAAAAAGATCTTCTGAATGACTGGGGGCTGGCAGGGGGTGTGAGCGCCCCCAATCTTTGCCTGACATTTGGGATCCCAGCCGCAACCGTTTAGGGACAGTGTCTCTGGTCGCGGCCCACAGGGGCCCGGTGTAAAATTTCTGAAGCCCGAGTTTGAGGGTGTGAGCAGGAAGTGTTTCTGAAGCGGTGCAGGAGGAGGGGTGCCGGCAGTGGAGGGCAGGCCTCATCCACCCTCCACACCCCACACCTCCGCTGTCCTCGCCCTGGCCCCCGGGCTCCTCTTCTTCCCTGCCCGCGGCTGTGTCCGTGGGATCCGGGTTGGAGGGAAGCCCGATCTGCCCGTTTCCATATCAGTGTTTCTCCGCAGGGATCCCCAAAGGTGGAGAGGGGGCAAGCCTCCTAAAAGTCACCGGCGAGCGGAGTATTTGAATACACCGAACGAGCGAACGCCGAAGAAGTCTCTGGGCGGAACGCCCAGCCAGACCGAAAGGGCCCTTGGCCCAGTTGCCTGGGTCTCGCTGCGGGGTCGCAAGCACTTCTCCCCTCCGTTTCCCCGCCCTGGCTCCTGCAGCTGAGACGCCCGGAGCCCCCGGGCCGGCGTCCTCCCTCCCTGGGCCCCGTACTCACTTTAAAGGCGACAGGCAGCGTCTTGTTGCAGCGCCAGTGCGAGGGCAGCACGGAGCAGAGGAAGTTGGGGCTGTCGGTGCGCACCAGCTCGCCCGCGTGGTCCGCCAGCACGTCCACCATCGAGCGCACTTCGGGCCGGGTGCGCCCCCCGGGCCCCACGGCCGCCTGAGCGCTCAGCGTCCCGCTGTTCTCGCCCATCTTGCCGCCGCCGCCGCCGCCGCCGCAGGGGAAGGCCGTGGAGGGAGGTGTGAAGCGGCGGCTGGTGCTCGGGTCTACAGGAATACGCATAACAGCGGCCGTCAGGGCGCCGGACGGGCGGCGGCGGCGGCGCGGCTCCCTCGGGGACAGCCGGCGCGGGCGCCTCCTCCGCCGCCGCTGCCGCGAGAAGCGGGAAAGCAGAAGCGGCCGAGCCGGGGCCTCAGATCGCAGGGGGCGGCGCCCGGGGACGCCCCGCCGGGGTCCTCCCGCAGCGAGGCCTCGCAGCCCCGACGGCCGCGCGCTGCCGGCCGGCTAGTCCCGCATCGTGGGCGCGCGGCCCGAGTGCGGCCACCCCTCGCGGCGGTCCCGGCTGCTTCGGCCGTGGCGCGGCCCGCGCGGTCTGTGCCGCCGCCGTCTTCCGCCCCCGCAGCCCGCTTGCGGCAGCCCCAGCAACTACGCGGCCGCAGCCCCAAAACAAATCCTCGAGAATCAAGTGGCGGCGCAGCGGCCGCCCGCGCGCGGGGTTAGTACCCCGGGGCCCGTGGGGCGGGGCCGCCCGAGCGACGCGCTGCGCAGCCAATCGGCGCCCCCATCGCGGGCACCTCGGCAGCGCTCGCGGGGGGCGGGGGCGCGGGGGGCCGCCCAAGGCCGCCCCACCCGGAGGGGCGGAAGGCTTCGCCTGGCGGAGCGCACCCGGGGTTGCGTACCCCCGCGCGGTAGCCCAGGGCTGCGCAAGGGTTCTGGGGAACCGGGGCCGAGGCTAAAAATGTGTTTGAAACGTCCGAGTCCGGCAGAAGGCTCATTTGCCGCGGTCTCCGGGGCCGCGCCTCCCTGTCTCTCCCCCTTCCCCGCCGCCTGCGGTCGAGCCTCCCCAGCTCCAGCTGCTTTCGGCCTGTACCGCCCGCACCCTCACTGGGGAGCCGCAGGCGTCCCAAGCCGGGTGACATCGCGCGGGGAGCTGCCCCAAAGAGGCTTCTCACTGCCCCGCCCGGAAATTAGTTTGACCCGAGAGCCTCCACCGCACAAGAGATTACGAGCGCGCCAGCAACCTCTGCAGCTCCCAGCCCTGTGCGGCTTTGGTCTTGGCCTCCGGGACCCCGGGGCCAAGCCGGGGACAAAAGGAAGGGTATTCCCTACGTGTCCGCATCCGCCTTGGGAGGCAACTAACCCCGCTCCTCGTCACTCTCCCCTCAAAACAACGGTCAGAATCGCGCAGGCCTTGCGGCGTCGTTCTTCGTTGTGGAGGCCTGTGGCTTCTTGTAAAGCACGATGGAGCCTGAAAAACGCGAGTGCTTTTCCCTGATCCGTGCCCCACCCCCAACTCCCGGGCTTGTAACCACGGTCCTGTATTGTGGAAGAGGACGCCAGTTCGTGGCGAGAAGAAAACTGTGCGGAGAACCGGACTGGCCGCAAAGCTAAGGGCCCCGGCTTCCAGAGGAGGAAATTTTCTTCCTCCACGTGGATGCAACCGGCTCCCGCAGTCCAAGCCCACGTCTTCCCCCAGCGGTGCGCTGCGGCTGCGCCGCAGGAATGCAGACGGCTCTGGCGAGGCAGGGTCTGCTCACTGGCCCTGGGTCCTCGCTCCCAGTCCCGGCAGCGCGACCAGCCACTCCTGGGACTTCACGTCAAACAGTCCCTCTCCAGCACCCTAAGGCCAGGCAACGGGGCCCAGGAAACGGCTAAAAAGACGAGGGGAATAGGAAAAGACCAATCCCCATTCACTCTGGATTAGCGCCCCAGATGCCTTCCCTGGCGGCTGGGGAACGAACTCTTGCGGAGTGATCCCACCGTTCTGGAGATTGGGTTGGATATTAGTTGTTCCTGGCCCCTTTACAGGTGCAAAACGACGAATTCCAAGGCTCTAGAGCAAAGAAGCATAGGAGACGATGAGGTCTGCAGGATCGCGCCCTGGATCTGACCTCGGCCCAGTGTGCGCCATTTCGTTTGTCGTCGACAAACGAAATCAAGCCCAGCGCGCGCTGCAGAGCGGATGGGACCTGGCCCGACCTCGGCCACAGGGAGAGCTGGCCCCTACTCCTCTCGGAGCCTCCGATCAGCTCCTCGGCCCATTTCGAAAGCGAGGACTGCGAGGGCCCCCCACCGGACTTTGTGTGGAGTCTACATCGCGCTCTCGGGAGCGCTGGCACTAGCAGTGGAACCAGAAGAAAGCGAGAGACCCGGACCTTAGTGTATCAGACTCTGGGAGCCTCCCAATGAGAGGCCCACGGCGTCGTAGCCAGGTAGGGCCCGGGGCCTGGGAGGGCGGGCCACGCGTACTGCCCCGGAGCGGCTGTGGGGCCAGGACCCGCATCATGGGGGGTTTGTAAATTCGATTCGTTTAATGGTTTCGGTTTACATCCGTGCGGTTACTTGCCCCTCCGCCTGATTTCTCCCTTCCATCCGACAGCGGGTTTACAAACGGGTTTTCTGAGAATGGGGCTCATGTGCATCTCGGCACCTGGCACAGGACCGGGCTTGGCACCAGCCCTCCGGAGGGGGCGCGCGCAGAAGGTGGGCGCCGGAACCAGAGGACTTTGGCTGTTGGCGCTGGGTCTCCGGCCCGAGGTCACCTGGGGCCGACGGAGCCTGAGCAGTTCCGAGAGCCACCGCTAGTTGGCGCCTGCACCCTGCCAGCGGCGGAGTTGCCCCTGCAGGCCCTGGGCTCACGTGTATGCCAGCTGTGGTCCCTGTGTTCAAGAGCCGGGGATCATTTCCTAAGAGCTGCCCTTTCTGGACAGACGTCTTGTCCGACTCCTCAACATCCACGCGGCCACGTCTCGAACAAACCAAAGGCTCGGTGTTATACCGAAGGCTGACCGCCTCCCCACTCCATGGACAAAAACGCTTTGACACTGGCGTTTTTTGCATTCGCATCTCAGACATCAGAGGGTCCCTGCACCCCTCGACTCACAGGACATTCCTCCTGACAGAAACGCAAGCCTCTGCTGCCCCCTTCTTGGGTCAGGGTTGAGGAGGACGCACAGAACAGACAAGCTCATTGCTTATTTCTACCTAGTTCTTCATCCTGACGGACAGACCGAGGGCTCGCTCTCTCTCTCTCTCTGTCTCCCCCATTTGGAAGACAACTGGACGGTCCCCACCCCGCTATCTGGAATACATGGGTACCCTCTCCCTTCCCCGTCTTAAATGGACCGCCATCTTTCTCTCTTCCAGGAGACTAACAGGCAAACACCCGGCTTTCTCTCAAATGGCTCCCACCTAAGAGCGCCCCAAGTTGTCTGTAGCAGGATGAGGAAGGGGGGAAGTCTGGGCCTGCCTTGGCCAAGAGCTGGGTAAACAGGGACCTAGCCTGGGGCCTGCAGAGCCCTGATCCTGGTGGCTGCTCCTTCTACCGGTGTCCTTCACCCCAGGGAGAGGATCTGTGGGTGGAGAATGACCCTCTGTCAGGAAGCCCTCCTCCTGCCCCTGGAGGGTGGGGTGCCTAGGAGTGCATGCTTCCCTGGTAGTGAGGTACTGACCAGAGTGCTTTCCAAGAGAAGATCTGATTGTTGGAGAGTCCTGGTGCTTGGGGAGGGTGAGGAACCCCTGTAAGTGCCAGAAAATGGACGTCTATGCTTTGGAAAGCCCTCTAAGAGGTCCCCTGGTTGTGAAGGGAGCCTGGGCCTGCAAGTCCACTGCCTGTGTTTTTCTTCTTCCACCACCTACTATGGTCTAGGGAAAATTGCTGAAAACCTCTTTGAGCCTCATCTGTGTTATCTGTAAAGTGGGGTCATAAATAGTGGCCTCTTCACAGAATCTTGTGTAAAGGGCTTAGCGCAGACCTGGCACATAGGGGGGTGCTCCACCCGTGTGAGCAGTCACTGTTATCCTGTAAAAATAAGGCCTGATCACTCCTAGTCAGGGGCCTTTGGCAGGTTCCCTCCTCTGTCTGGGCCTTATGCTTCCCATTGTGAAATATCCAATTCTCATGCCATCCTGCCCCCTCGGTTCGCCAGGGGCTGCCGGGAGACGTAAAGACTGTCTGTGTCCGGGTTCCGGACAGAGGCAGCTTGCAGGAGGGCTGTCGGCATGCACAACAGGGCTGCCTGCGGGTCTGCACCTTCCTTTGGCATTCACACCCTCACTCCAGAAACCCACTGGCCCCCATCTCTCCCCCTCCCCCACAGGCACTTTCCTGAGTAGGAACTGGCCTCAGCGGACACTGTCAGCCCCCTCCCTGCTCCTGCCCTTCCTAGGAGGCATCTGTTCCCTTTATCCTGGGTCTCACAGGAGCCGCAGTCCAGCGGCTCGCACAGAGGACTGTCTTCTGGAAGCTAATGGTTTCTCCCACTCTAGTCTCCACACCTCGACTCCGGAGGGACAATTATCCCCACGTCACCCTCCAGCTTGGTGCCGTGCCCTGGAACTCAAGGTGGGACACTCCTGTCCCTCCCTCAGCCTGAGGTTCCTCTCCTATATATACATGGAGGTTGTTTCAATCGCCCCAGTTTACAAATCCAAACCATTGAAAACCCCGTCTAGGAGGAGAGGGGCATTGAGTGTCACGGATCTGAAATACCATCCATTGTTCTATGCGAAAGAAAGAAAAAGAACAAAACTGCCAATTAAACCAGCACTTGCCTGCATCCTGGTTTTAGATATACGTATTTACACACATATGATTATACATTGTATTACATATGTTACATACTAACTATACATAAGGTTAGAAAGGGTTATGAAACAACTGCAAAGCTTATGTTAGATGGGTTGTTGCTTCAGGGTTTGGGGCCCTCACCCCAGAGATCCAGCTCTGAGCCATCTCTCCTGGGCAGCCTCTGGAAGGCTCCAGAATGTGCGGGCAGACAAGTGCACTTCTCAAATTACCTAGTTTTGTTTTGCAAGGGGCCAGACTCTGCAGGGAGGAGGGGCGTGGGGGAGAACACTGTAGTTAGGGTACAGCTCCCGGCTGACCTGACCGATGGCTGCTAGCTGCGTAAGTTTTGCTCCTCCCCAAGCCTTGGTCCCCTCCCTGAGCCTTGGTGCCCTGGCCACTATAATGGGAAGGACAGTGATGGCCACATTTGCTGAGGTGTTACTGGGCGCAGGCCCTTTGTTGGGGCTTTAAAGCGCA